TTACAACCACAACATCCACTCATAGCACATTTACAGCAATGAAGTCAGGCCCAAGGCAAACAAACAGACTGGATGAGGATCTTTGATACTTTTGTTTTCCAGCTGGCCAAACCCATGTGTTTTGACAATTCCAAAAGCACACTCTAGGAGCACAACACAGCCCAAGCATGTAAGCCAGTCACTTGCATATTCCTCCTCAGCTAGAATTAAGCCTTAGGTCTTGCTGTGGCAACTGGGTCAATGCTGCTCTGCAACTAAACTGCAAGCACTTTATTCCAAAAGGCTTCTGCCAAGAGAGTATTCCTACCCCTGACAAGCCATCTTCCCCAGCAATTTCCACCCATCTGGGATCAAGAAATAAAGCATGCTATCCCCAAGGTTTTTCTACAGAGAGAACAGGACAAGGACATGTCAGCACCAGAAATTTATCACTATCTGCAAGGCACCACCACACATTATCCCTGTCAACAGCTCACAGAATTATCCCAGCAAGCTGGACAAGTAGGGGACAAGCAGGGGATGGATGAGGGTCGGGGCGGGGGGGGATTAGGGGGTGTATATAGAGCCCGTACCAAACATGAACAACTACAAAAGTACAGGCCAGGTTGGATGTAGTCTTGGGTGGCATGGTCTAGTGTGAGGTGTGCCTGCCCATGACAGGGGAGTTGGAACTAGATGGTCTTAAGGTCCTTTCCAACCCTAATTCTATGATTCTATGAAAACACTGTGCTGTTCGCATTGCTGGCACAGGTACCATGAGGGAAGGCAGGACGAGGGCTGCAGCCGCATCCCCCTTGGCTGATGCACAGATCCAAACTGCCTGCTGCCAAATCTGGCTGCACTCACCTTCATTCCACCCTCCCAAAGCTTTCAGAGCTGCCAGTTATCTGAAGGGACCCTACAAGGAAGCTGGAGAGGGACTCTTCGTCAGGGACTGTAGGAGAATTGGTTTAAACTGAAAACAGGGGAGATTTAGGTTAGATATAAGGAAGAAGTTCTTCCCTGTGAGGGTGCTGAGGCGCTGGCACAGGTTGCCCAGAGAAGCTGTGGCTGCCCCATCCCTGGCAGTGTTCAAGGCCAGGTTGGACACAGGGGCTTGGAGCAACCTGCTCTAGTGGAAGGTGTCCCTGCCCGTGGCAGGGGGCTGGCACTGGAGGAGCTTTGAAGTCCCTTCAACCCAAACCATTTTATCATTCTACGATTCTATTCTGCTTTTCCTCTGAAATCACTGATGCAACTGTGCACAAAGGAACCAGCAAAGACAGAAGAGCACCCAGAGCATTGATGCCAGTCTCTCCAAATTCACCATCTCAACAGCCTTCTTTGCCCTAAGCCAAATCAGAGGGAATTTTCTTCTGAAATGCCACAAAAGCCTGCCAGCCGTTGGGGAGCAGAAGGTGAGAAGAGAAGGCAGAGGAGTAGTATTAATACAAAATTTGCTACTTTCACTGCTCTAGACAGAATAAAGCCACAGGGTATCAGCAGTTTTGCCTTTAATCAGGACTAGCACACTCTGACATTTTGAGGCCAATCAGGTACGCTATGAATAAAAAGACACTACTAGAGGGGCAAAACTGAGCTGTGAGAAGTTCCTGCAAGGGGGCATCAGTCCTCTGCAAAGCCCTTCTCTCCAGCCACCCAAGCAGGTCCCACCTTCAGAAGGGAGACCCTTACCACTGCCAAGGTTTGGAAGGGACAAGCTACAAGCAGAACAACTTAGTCTGGAGAACAGTAGATGCACAGTCTGTGCCAACAGCCAACCAAGAGGTCCTCATCCAAGTGACAAAGCAGACCCGTATCCAGCACGGAGCAAAACACCAACTGCTATCCATGGGTTTGCATTCCCCAGTAGACTCCTGGTATCAAGGGGACTTTAAGCTGCACGTAACAAGTACTAAAAACATCCTGTGACACATCAGTGGAGCATACCTACCTCACCTTTACACTCAGCCAACCCAACACAGCAGGTTACAGGGAGGAGAGTGGGTACAGAAGCGATGTCTGTACTCAGGAGACAGTGAGTCAGGTGTCAGGCCAAGTGCTCGCAGTGCATTCAATGCAGTCTGGATTTTCAATCTTTCTTCAGAAAACAAAAACTAAAAACTATTAAGTCAGTTATGTAAAACTTCAGGATTTTTATCTCTTTCAGGTGAGTGGGGACATTGAGGGAAGGAGGAATCCACAATGCAAATGGATCCATTTGAAGCTGAAGCAGAGCTGGTTTTAGGTACAAGCAATTGAAACAGCTGCCCAAGGGGACACTTCTCATCCCTTTAGGCTGTCAGGGAGAACACAAATCAGTCAACATACTGGCTGCTCCAGCCTAACAGCAAGCTCCAAGACAAAGTGGCCACCAGATGCCAAACAGACTCCTAACGTCTTTAGGTATCCCAGCAATCTGCTTTCATCAAGCTGCAAACCTCTGCCTGCAAGATTAAGATTATCCTTAAGAAGAGTTGTTGTTCTGTGCACAGCTTAGAGCCTGGCTCAGCAAAATGCTGAGCTGCCCAGTTTTTGCTTCAGCTCACCTTCCTGCCCATGTGCCAAGGCTCAGAACTGCCACCCTTCCTCTCTCCCAGCCCTGTGTGGTGGGGACAGATCCAACTCAACTCTTCCCTCTGCTGATGCTGACAGGAACAATTCTAACAGGCTGCTCAGAAACAACCTACTTTTTACAGCTTATTCACTAGAATGGTAATCACACTTCACATCCTCACCTCAAACACTGAGGCAGGTTTTCCACTACTGACAAAGCAGTAGGAAACAAAGGAACAAGTGCCCCAAATCACCTTCAAATTCCCAGAGGTTTGTAAAACTATATCCAAGGAGACAGGAATTAATCCTGTGAGTGACGTGACCTTCTGCTCTAAGTCTCTGCTGGAGACTCGGTTCTCACGCAGCTTGAATGAACATTCAAGAGCCAGAAATGGCTAAAAGCCCTTGTGAGAGCAAGAATAAAAGCTGCTTGCAGCGAAACCAGGCTGTGACTGAAACTTCTCCACAGAAGGGGTCTGAATTTTCCCCTCCTGGCCCAGGGGTTGAAGCAGCATAGCATTGACGGGTGGGACAAGGCAGAGCGGACACCCGTGCATCTTGCTTGTGCAAACGGATGTTGTTACATACTTAGTCCAAAACAAGCATAAGCTAAACCTTTTTGACAATGATTACAGGTTGCCACTGATGAAGGCAGTACAGTGCCAGCAAGAAGAGTGTGTGGCTACTCTGCTACAGCATGATGCTGACCGCAATCTGACAGATGCAGATAGCAATACTGCCCTTCATCTTGCTGTTATATCTCCTAATCTGTACATTATGTTACTTGAGCATAATGCTAATATTGATGCTCAGAATAAGAAGGGATATACCCCACTTATTCTTGCTGTCTCCAAACACCAGGAAGAGATAGAAGAATTTATTCTACTACAGACATGTACAGACTGTACACACGTACAGACACATTTACAAACCTAAGCCTGCAGAAGATATAAAGGCAGAGTTTTGTTAAGACACTGATCTGTCTGGTAGCAGGAAGAGAAGAAACATGGAGTTTATCATCACAGCCAAAGAGCAACTGCAGCAAAGCATGTTTCGCTTGTAACCAAGAGGTTCCTAACTAACACAAGGAAGTGTTAGTTAGACCCCCTCTTCACACAAGGGTCCCCACCATCTCTACACAGGATTAATAACAGGCGCTGATGCAAGTGCTGATGCTTTATAGCACAACTCACAGTCTGTAGATTAGCACTGGCCAGGATTTTCCTACGTAGGACAATCAATATGGAATCTGCTTCGTGGCCTGCAGAGACCTGGAAAGAAGGCTCTCATTTCCAGAGGAGCTCAGGTCTGCCACACAGAATGCAGGTATCACGGAAAGAAATTAAGCCCAAGAGCTTTCTGTGGAAGCAGCAGTCCTCTGGGATGACACAAGCGCAACTAGAAAGGGAACAGAAGGTTCCTAAAAGAAGAGCAGCAGCATCCACCTGACAGAACCAACTGTAAAATGTGCCAGAACAAGCCACAGCAGTATTAAGAGAATCCCTCATCGCTCCTTCAGGCTGCACAGGGCAACCTGATAGGAGAGCGACACGTAACAGGAGTTACATCAGTACCAGCAACACATGGCACCTCCTGCTGCCCATCACAGACAGCAGTCATCAGGCTGCAGCTGGGCTTATTTCACAGTTGGTTTTCTTTTTTCTCCTTCCTTTACATTTTCAGACCTGCTTTTAAAGGTGAACCTTTCAGGTACAAAGCCAATTTGAATGCACCAGCTTCTGCAATTTACACTCACTTCCAGTTCCATACCCAGCTGCTGTAAGAAAAATCATCTCCTCCATGCTCAGGGAGACAGCCAGACCTGGAACCCCAGGGACAGCACATCCATCAAGCTCCAGGGCAACACTACACACACTGTCATTTACAGTGGGAATCCTCCCCTTGCTGCCAAACTGAGGGAAATTTCTCAAAAGCAAACCATCCACTGCAATGACTAAGCCAAGGAGTGCAGCTATTACACCAGCCTCTCTTGACAATGCTGCACCCAGAGAAAGGTTTCTGGAGAGGAGGACATGCTTTTGTCAATGGTGACATTAAGCAGCCACCCAGTTTGCAGATGGGGACTACACATCTTTTCAGGACAATAAAGCAAGTCTCCCAGGAGGACAGATCATCCTGGAGTGCAGCAAAGGCTTTAAATGAGTCCCTTCCTTGAAGAAGAGCCCTTTCCACAGGAGACTGCTAATGGTCAGAGCTTAGGGCTTGTGTCCATCCTGTCAATTAGATGTTCTTCTGATCCAACTCTGACCTCGAGTTACTTTTGTTCCAATACATTCTTTTACTGCAGTAAGAAAGGTCTGTTTCCTCCTCTGCAGGATCCCTTCAGCTATACAAAGCTATGTTACAGACTGGGTAACAAGGACTGCTAGAGAGCAGTGTGGAGTGGCAGGGAGGAAAGGGCAGTCACGGATTTTTTAACCGGGATGTGTACATTTGGGGTAAAAAGGCTTTATTAAAAGTGCATGCTTTTCTTTAGAGGTACCAAGAGCAAGGAATCCCCATCTAAGCTCTGGCTGGGGAATGCAGCAGCCTTTGCAACCCCTAGCCCTGTCCATCACTACCCGTCAAGTAGCCAGAAACTGAATGTTCTTCAGCATTTCATCAAAAGCCTCACGGGAAGGTGCTTCGGCGTTCTGGAAGGCCACCTTGATCCGGCTGTAGAGACTGAAGGACTTGAGCTCCAGCCAGATGAATCCGAAGCGGTCGTCATCGAAGAGAACAAACACACCCGGTGTTCGCTCGGGGCTGGTGAAGCCGTGGCCAGCAATAAGCCCCGTCCCGTAATAACTGCAAGAAGAATAGCAAAGAAAAAGATGTGAGAACAGCCGTAACCACCCAACATTTAATAAGAAAATAAAACAAACAACCAAAACTATGATCAAGCCATTGTCAAACACGCTGCCAGGTGCTACAGAACAGCCAGTTTTACACTCAGTTCTTACCACACAGCTCGAAACACTGCTGATACCATTTTAAGTAAAGAAACTCTCCGTTGCTATTTGGAGGTTGCTACTTTTGGCTACTCTTAACTAGCACCTGCACACCAAGGCTCACTTTTTTCTGTAATTCAGCCCAATAATCCATCTGAGATTTATTCCTGCAACTCAAGGATCAACCAAAGCCCAGACAATCCTCACAGAAAAGACATGTTGACAAGGTGACCAGAGAGGCAAACCTTGTGATAAAACATAGGGGAAGAGAGAGAAAGAGTGATCTAAACAGGAAAGTCTAACCGGAGCTGGGGAGGAGTAAAGGTCAGCCTCCAAGCAAGCAGCAGGTGGAGCAGGGTTTTATTCAAACACAACTCAGTTGTGACAGCAGGAGTCTTTGGGGATTAACCAGCTATTGGTAGGTTTTTCCATGAGCACAGATGTTTGGCTCAAGGTCACCTGCCTAAGCCTCAGCTTTTGGGATTTTTTTTCCACACTTCATTTAGCATACTGCTTCACTGACTCCAGGTCCCTTTCAACAAGGCTCTCTGCATACTTGTACCGACTGCTTAGGGTGCTCAGTGCCTTCCAGAGCTGGCCCCAAGGCACCAGAGGCCAGGGAAGGGCGGGAGAGAGCACTGTGTTCTGACAGCCAAGGAACACAAAGGACACACACAGGAACGGGAAGCAGCTTGAACAGATCTTCAAACACACAAACTGGGCAGCTCTGGGAAACAAAACACGCACAAACGAAGGGGAGTGGGTGACTTATGGGAGAGGTGCTCACTTCAGAAGTAACAGGATAAAATCTCGCAAGGAAGCAGGATGGCAGATGACTATGGTGAGAAACAGAGGGAGCAAACAACAGTGTGGAAGGCAGGGCAGCAACAGCACAAAATCTGAGCACAAGGGGCTGGGAGAACCACATTCAGGTAGAGGGCAAGCAAATACAGAACACACCTCAAAGATACACCCTCCCCTTCTGTTTCAAAAAGTGCCTGGCACGACCAGGCTCTAAACCCACCACCCCCCGTTACCAAATTCGGCAGGTCCGGGGATAGTCTTCATTCCTCGATATGACTCCCATGGGCAGCACGAAGGGCTGGGAAGCTGGTGCCTTGTCCTGGGTCGTCCCCTCCGCTCCTGCTGCAGTCTCTTCCCCTTCAGCACCTTCTCCTCCCAAGGGCTTCGCAGCATGCTGGGAGGGATCCTCTTCCTCCTGCCCGTGTTCCTGCTCCTGCTCTTCCCGACGCACCTGCTCCTGGACCTCCAGAACAATGCGAGAGAGCTCACTGAAATCACGAAGGTTCTCGATGTCGGGCAGCTGCAGAGGATGGGCCAGGTCAATCTCCACAGTCTGCTGCCCAGCCGGGATGTTGGGATCTCCCTGCAGACAGGAAACAACAGCTTGGCTGCAGAGATCAGACCTGTATCCTCCCCATGTCCACCATCTGACTTCTACATAGTTCACCCTATTCTATAATCACCAACCTGGCAACAAAAATCCCCTCTTGGACCTTGCCTGTTGTTCCCCGAGATGTCTGCATCATCTCTGCCTTTTACCTCCCAGAAAGAGAATCTTAAATTAAAAGCTGTAAGCTAAGGGTGAAAGAAAAGTCAGAGCTGCAACTGCATTTTGTCAGAGAGAAGGAGCTCACTAGCCTGGCTTTAGTGAAAAGCTGCCAACATTTGGTACCTAATCCTCAGATACATGTAAGTGATCTCCAGTGACCTGCCACCAGCTGCTCACAGAAAGCAACTGGAAGGGAGAGGACAGGAAAAGAGAGCCAGGTGGCACCAGGAGAAACTTAGAAAAGTGGGGTTTAGCTGCTCTGCATGTGTTAAAATTCACCAATGCCATCAATCCCCACAAGCAACAGGATGTGGGGTGACAACAACCTTTCAAGTGTCTCTCCTATGGATCCGTAGCATCAAGAATACTTTAGAAAGCATCTGAGAGAAAGACAAATGCACTCACGGTGATTTTAGTCCCCTTTGCTTTCTTCCCATGAAAGCTCAACATGACAATCTCCAGCCCATGGCTCCCATACGTTCCTTTGAAGAGACCTGGCTTTATAAGGTCATCAGGGCTGCTAGGAGGGAGGTAGATGCGTCGGTATGTCAGGCAGTTACTGTGTAAAAACCAAAATGTTAGAGAGGTTAGAGAGAGTCTGCGCCCCCAGGCAGCTTTGGGATGTTGACAAGAGAGAGGTGGGTTCTGTGTTTTCCACAATACCAACAAGCTTAACAGACTTTGCTTTAGACCTATATAAGCATTCCCTCCCTTCACTTCTCTCTACCCAGTCCTCAGCACACCAGCAGGCTCCAGCAGGAAATCCTTGGGATTTCCAGAGGACCCAAGAGTGAAGCATATTTAAACATCTGCTACAGCGAAGCGGCTGCTGTTATCATAGAAGCATATAATGGTTTGGGTTGGAAGGGACCTTAAAGATCACCTAGTTCCAACTATTAGAAGTTTGGAACAATGGCCTAAAATCCCCCAAGTTGTCCAGAACTGACTGATTTCTGCCTAGCACCCCAAAGCACATTGCTTACTGAGATGGATACTGAGCAGATAGCTTCTTGGGACTGTGGTCATTTGCTCTGTTTCTAAACTAAACACAGTTAAACGTCTGCAAAGCACTGCGCTCCACTGTGTCTTTGCACAGAGCCTACAGAGACACAACATCCCTCTGGCTGTTAAAGCCCATTGCAAGCACCCGATCTTCAGAACAAATGATCCATGTGCTCTCCAAGTTACAGCAGCCTCAGAGCTGGTGTCCTTACTCATATTGGCTGGTGTAGATGAACTTCATTAAGATGAGCTCTTGCATGTGTTCGTGGAAGATGTCTTCCAGGGTCCGACCCCACTCTTCCCTTAGCCAGGTCCGGAATTCCTGCAGCACAAGAAGAGAAAATGGGGAAGATAAAGGCATTTCATTTGTGACAATGATGCACCTCAACAGGATTGCACCTCGTCAGCACGATTTACTGGCAGAGCCACAAAGAGAGCATGTGCTCTGCCACAGACAAGAGGATCATGGCTATATTTGTGAACAAGCACGTGTTGCTACAGAGCTGCCTTGGAAATACACTTAACAAGTAGTGATAATGATAACTGCCCTATACCTGGAAAACACCACAAAATAGAGACATGTGCACCTTCAAACAAATTATAGGTAGAACCAATATGCCTCCTCAGAATAAAAACATAAACATCACCTGTTACTGCAAAGTAGCTGATCTACTACTTCTTTACATCCCAACTAACCTTGCAGTTGCTCATTTGCGTGTGCATAAGCTGACTCCTGTGCCCTATCATGGCATATTAAATGTAGAAAGGGAAGCTTTTAAAAAGCACTAAAGATTTAGGAGGTTAAATCCTGCTGATTTAATACTGATGCATCTAAATCCAAAGGGTGCTTTGAAAACATCTCCTGAAGTACCTCTACACCAGCTCTGACAAGTTAATACCCTACCATGAGTTACAAGTGATAACAGCTTACACTAAGATAGCAGCCTACCAAGTGATGTTCCAACCCTGCTTGCTTTATCTTCTAAAGCCAGATCCTCCAATTACCATAATGCCACGCACATTTAACACAGTGCTTTGAAAGTATTAAAGCATTTCTCATCTGCTTCAGAACCAGAAAACACTTAACTAAACCTTTCACCCAGCTGTTTCCCATTAGCAGACAGACATTTTAAAGCATTTGTTGGAAGCAACTCAAGCATCAGATTTGCCAAGTTTAACTACCTGGCAGCAAACCGCACTACCTGGAACAGGTATTAGCTGAAGGGTTTCATCCTGGCATTTATACGTGGCACCTTAAAACACGTAGTTTGAGTCAGGAATCTATCTTGCTGGGTATAGCTGACACACACACAAGATAAACAATCAAATGAAGCTTTCAAACCCTCAACCAAGACAATAAGCAGCAGAAAGGTGCCCCACTGACAAGTGGGTATTCAAATGCAGCTGGTACTCAATATTAGGCCTGTGTCTGAAAGATCTGAATTACACAGACAGCAATACCATGAGATTAGTGTCTGGCAAGTGCTGCAGGACATACAATGCATGCTGCTGTCTTTCTCTGGATACTTCTAT